TTTTTTTTGCTGTAAAAGAAATGAAAAGAAAGATCACATGGAATTTGTTTTCATCGTCAAAAAACGGAGCCCTAAATTGAGCTACTACCCCTTAATTGTCTATTTATATCTATCTGCTTATCTATCTTTTTTTTTTTCTTTTTCTGTTTACCATAGCAATATATACTTAATAGGATGTATAGTAAGTCTGTTGTATTGCGAAAGTAATGCTATACAAACTAAATGGCTGATCACATCTTCCTACATTGAGCGTGTATTAAGCGTGCTGTTGCTATGGGCTGAGTGTACAAGCGATTTTATAATGCAGCAGGTTTCACACAACAAGATCAGTCAAGAGATAATTAAGGATGAGCAATAAAAGCAACTTTTTATTTTATACAAGTGATTTACAAATAAGAATGACTTTTACAAGATGTGAACGAGTTTTGATATGGATTCTAGTAGCCCAGAAATTTTACACTACGACGGACCCCTTTTGGCCACGATTCATGTTACAGCGGATATTGAGTCATCAGCCTGACATTTTTATGTTTTCTATGTTAGTTTTTATATCTAAATGCACTTGCCAATGAGGTATTCAGAAGATAGATTGGCGTTCACGCTTGATAAATTACGGGTTTGGTTTGTGTCCTGGTGATTGTTGATGTCCTTTTTTTTTTTTTTTAGCTCCATGGTCAATTTCTTTGCCGTGATTATCAAAGGGAAGGCAAAGAGAAGAAGAGTCAACAGAGGAAGGCAAGTAAACAGGCATACAGGAAGGCAGACAGAGAGCGAAAGAGAGAGAAAGAGAGATGATGATAGATGAGAAGGGAGCAGGGCTTCAGCATCTTATTTACAAGTTGAGGATATGTACAAAGTAATATACATAAATAAAAATACAAAGTATGTACAAGAGTAAAGATACAAAAATATATACAGTATATGCAAGTCTCAGAGGAACTAAGAAGCCAAGTTAGTATGTACAAACGGCATCCTTGATTTCCTCTGAGACAATTGCCAGAGAAGTAAGCATCACTGTCAAGGCATTGCAAGCAATGCAGAGAAGGACTCTCCACATACCGCGTACCAAGGTAGGAACTACTCTCAAGGCAATTCTAAAAGAAAATTTTTAAGAATACAGCTTTCATCTTCACCACAAAGGATCCGACGGACAGTTGACTCGACCGCGAAAAGAAATTTTTGAAAAACATTTTTTTTTAAAAAAACGAAAAAGAAAGCTTCTTTCTTTTAAGCTTATTTTATAGTAAATAAAATTGGAGCCTTGGATCTTGTAAAAAATTTATTTGGCATTTTACTGATTTAGTTAAATTTGAAAATAAACAAGTACTCGTGCTTGAATCCTTCTGATAGATAATGGATGAGAGAGCATCCCTAGAAGAATCAGAATATCCTGAGTGCTTTAAAAAAGAAGAGTGGAAATATCTGCTGACTCTATCAAGTTTATACAAGAGGCCAATTTCAAAAAAAAAAAAAAAAGAGGCGAGTACTTCAGTAGAATGCATCATCTGAATAACCTTAACCACAGTATCTTGTGATAAAGGTTGCCACCATAAACAAGTTTAAGCAAATTTGGTAAGTGCTTTATCCTAGTCGCTGAAAATGAGCATATGCAAAGAAACGAGAATTTTCTTGTTATTACAATGACTCTTTTTAGGAGATATTGAATATGTATTCTATCGATTGTTACAAAGGAGAAACAGCTGTCTCAATATTTATCAGTATTCGTAGGTACTATGTCATTCATAAAGTGTTAGTTGAACAGATTGCATGAGCATCATCCTGTCTAGAAAGTGCAAGAGTAAGGGATACACAAGAATTACGCATAAAGCCATCAATATAGGAACACGAAAACGATGTGTGTCATAGGGATACCCATGTAGTTGGTCAAAGTGCTTTGCTAACAAGTCTAGCCCTTCAATAAATAGTAAAGCATGGCGGAGAGAATAGAGGACTATAAAATACATCTTTCCTTTATGTGTAAAAGCCAAAAGGAGTAATTCTCATGCAGATCTGCTTTCACTTTTTCCCCCAGAGCTACAATTGTTAAGAAAATTAATATTGGCGACCACTCTTGAAGAAAGTGCAAGGAGATGCCAAGTCTTCAGGCTAATCAGCCTTGCTATAGAAATGAGTTCATTCTTACTTCCGTCAACATCGTTACAAATAGAAGGCAAAGCGAGAAAACAGTAACCTCTTTTGTTTAACCATGAGACTATCATTCATCTCTGATATTATAGTCGTCGATTCGCTGACAGAAAAGGTCTCAGTAAACAGAGGTTTTCTTAAGCAAGCTTACTAACACTATCATTATATTACAAACATGAATTCTTTCACACATTAATAAAAGACTCTTGTTTGAGCCTTGTCCAAAATACAAGTTTAATATAAATGTTTTATGATATAGAATACACAACTTTTGGCGGAACTAAATCTTTTTTTTTTTTAGACATTCAGTTGGAAATATTTTTTGATTTTCTTTATGAGTACTAAATAAAGTTTTGGATTTATTTTTTAAGCAGTATTACATAAACCTCGGTTAACGAGATGCTAGAGTTTACAGCTAAAGAGTTATTAGTATTATAAAAGAGCATGCATTCTTAATGCAGCTGTACGATATCGTTACTCCCAAATACTTTTCTCCAAAAGAAACCAGCTGTTTATCCAGATTATCCACAAGATAAGCACATTTGGCAGACATAGTCCACTGTCGGCAATACCCACAACCAGCGCTTAGTAGAAATGTAAAGACTCTTGGTAAATCTTGACAGGGTCTCTCAATAATGTTAACAAGGGCAAAACAGTCTTGTAAATTATGACCTATATGGCTTTTTTTTTAACAAGCCTTTCAAGAAATGGTGCCATTGATCGCATACATCCTTAATATGTATACGAGCATTCCCAGAGCAATGTCAAGAATAACACATTACACACACCCAAACGTACAAATAAAGCTCCTAACTTATATACTTTACTGTTCACCAAATCAACAAGAGCAACAATAAAAAGCTTAATTTTGCAAAATAACTTTTTATTTGACAATATAGCTCGCTCCTTGTATTTTGAAACTACAGAAGTGCCATTAGTATCACACTTCTTCAAACATTCAATATCACTCACCTTATTTCTTCTTGGAGACACCAACAGTACGTCCACGACGACCGGTAGTCTTGGTGTGTTGACCACGAACACGGACACCCCAGAAGTGACGAAGACCACGGTGAGCACGGATCTTCTTTAAGCGTTCAAGATCTTCACGGTACTTGGTGTCAAGAACGTTAGAGATGACTTGAGTGGACTTGCCGTCAACAATATCCTTTTGTCTGTTAAGGAACCAGGTGGGGATCTTGTATTGAGTGGGGTTTTGGAGAACAGTGACGATACGTTCCAATTCTTCGCTAGAAAGTTCACCAGCTCTCTTGGTAAGATCAACATCAGCCTTCTTACAGGCAATGTTGGCGAAACGACGACCAACACCCTTGATGGAAGTCAAGGCAATTTGAATCTTGACACGACCATCAACGTTGGTGTTCAAAAGACGAAGAATGTGCTGGAAATGGTTCTTCTCGGGAACGACGAGCGACTACGTGATGTATAAAGTGTTAGTTTATTTCTAGTTTTAATTAAGCCCAAAGCATTAAAAGAAAGGAGAGAGACGAGAGAGATAAGGGATGTACAATATCCAGTTAAATGCTGCGTAGTCCCTTTCCTCCCTCTAATGTATATATGTGTGTGCATATGTGTCAATCAGCTCTATCCTCAGTCTTTATCCATCCATCCATCCATCCATCCATTTATATCCATTACATATAGATGTTATCCTCATCATCATCCCTTCCTCTTGTTCTCTCTCTCTCTTCTCCCTCTTTTGTCAATATTTATGTTTGTTGATGCATTTACCATTTTGATGAAAAGGGAGGATTCTCATGTTGGCTTGCTCCTCAATACATAATTGGCAAATAGTAAATTGAAAGACCGACATCGACTTTCCAAGCCAAGCGTACAGAATGTGTCCTGTCAAATCCTTCTTTGTATCTATGAGAACAATCACCAAACCATTTCCTAAATACATGAGTTTCTCTTCCCAGCAACCTCTCTTTTGTTCTTTACTTTTACATCATTTTGTTATTGTTTAATAACTGTAATACACACAATGATTATTTTATTTATAAACTAGTGAAGGTATAAAAATGTGAAATATACAAATATGAAACTAGCTGCTGTCGTCTTTATTGAGCACTGACTGCGCTGACATGAGCCTATGATCTAGTGTGTTAATCATTATTATATCAAAATAAATAAAATGTTTTACATTGCTGCATGAAGGGTGCTCATCTTGAGTAAGGCTGGCACTTGTTCGTTCGTTTGTTTAAAGTGTTGATCTAATTCCTGTATATTTTTTGTCAATTTATTCAGTTCATAATGTAATTGAGCATATTTCATCGGCTTGTTCGATCTTGATTTAGAATCACTCTCAGACATGTGTATAATATAAAAAAAGGAAGGGCGCTTGCATTTTTCTTTTTCTCTTTTTATTATTTATCAAATAATGGCTTCAATAAGAGCCCCAATAAAGAGTTTATCAGAAAACCAACGTCGATGGCGAGAAAGAATACGACAAGAGAATAGTGAGAGAATAAAACTAATACGACAAGAAAAGATAAACAAGTTTAGGGAAGACAAGGTAATATATATATAGTACACGTCAATAAATATTATTAAAAAAAAGCAAAATAGTTGGCACAGTATCAGATATGCAATGAAATTGATGCCTTTAATAAAGCTAATGAAGAAACTCTAAGAATGCAAGGAACATTTGACGTGGATCAACTCATAGAAGAAAGCATAATGCAAGAGTATGAGCTTGAAGAATACCTGCAGCAGGAACAAGTTGAATGTTGTGTTAATTGTCAGAATGAAGTTCTGACATATCAACAAGCAGATATGCTTTCATGCTCCAATTGTGGTTTTTATACTACCAAAGACTGCTTTGAAAAGACTATACTTCCATTACTGCATCGCCATGCCCTTGACTGTCAAGGGAAGATTGGATTCTGTTTAGAACCTGGTACAGATAATACCTTATTTGCCAACTGTGACATTTGCGATCTCTGGGACATTTTGTACATGTAAAAAATTCACGTATTGTGTATATAGATATAATGCTTGTAGATACTATGCGGCTGGTATATTTTGTGCGTTATCGAAAAATAGATAGCGATTTTTGAAAAATAAATTTCGTCCAGCTGATACTACTGTATGTAATTTTGTGGTAAACTCGTTTTAAGCGGTGCAATTTTCTCTCTCTTCTTCTGGCGTTTCCTTATATGGCCTTCAATCTCCTTTTACTATTGTTACTATATTTGATTCATAGTGAATCAGTTACTATAGTTGGTTGAATCCTGTGATGCAAGTCGTGCAACTCATTCGAGACTTGCAAATTAAATCTTGAATATTATTTTGATGGAGGACGCTAGGGGTGTCTGTAGTAAAATCAGTGACGCGAGTGACAAGTAGTCAGAAAAGTTCTTGGCGGAGCCCCAAAAGCAATTTAAGATTTACCTTTTCTGTCTCCTTAGTTCCTTACCATATGAATCAGCATTCAACGCTAAGAACCATATAGACGCTAATTTAATTTCCCTTTCAACTCGAGACCTTTTGCCAATAAATAATTGCTTGACGTGCCTAACCCAATTCCAGTTGACTTCAGTCGGACTTCGGATGTGGTATAAGCTCTTCGAGCCACGCTTTTTATTTGAAAAATAGTGTTTTTAGAAAGTAAAGTCGCAGGCTCCGAAAATCGATGTCGCTGGTTTAAAAATGCCAGTCGCATTTTCAAAAATAGATGGCACTCTGCCTGGGAATCAAATGTCGCATACTGAGAATAAATTTGTCGCGGAGAAATTCTTGGCACTCCTGGGTATATATATCGACGCTACTGCTCTTTTGCTGGTTTCTACTACTTTACAATCCAAACATGAGCGCGCAATTTTTATACGAAGATGGACAAGGAAATGTAGTTGATGAGAACGGTAGACCCGAGCCTATGGATTACATCGTTGACCAGGAGCAATTTGCTCTTGAGACGATCAGTTCGCATGCTCAATATTTGCAGAAAAAGCCCGCTGAGAAATCTCGAACTAACGCGATGCAAGTAGATAAGCCTAGAGATGAGGACTCTCGTATGAGAGAAGCAATGGAAAGACGTACTTATACCTCTTACACTCCTCAGGACAAGTCTAGATTCTTTAAGCTGAAGATTGAGAAGTGTATGAGTGCCTCTGCTGCAGCGAAACAATTGGGCATTCACGTTCGCACAGCCCAGAGATGGGTTAAGCAGTATGAGGAATGTCCTGATAGTATCTTTGACAGCGGAAAAAAGAAAGGTCGTAGACGCATTCTGACTGAGGAACACGTAAAGGTCGTTATTGAATTTATCGATGCTAATCCCTCTGCTGTTGTCGCTGAAGTAACTAAGCATTTAATGCAACAGTTCGACGGTCTTAAGGTCACTAATAGCACTGTTTATAACCTCATGAGAACAGAATGTAATCTTTCGATAAAGCAAGCAGAATTTCATTCGGTAGAGAGAAATAGCCCGGAAAAGATTGAGGAACGACATGATTGGGTTCGCAAGTGGGAACAAACTGATATGGACTTCTTGACCAATTGTGTGTTTCTTGACGAGTCTGCATTTCATATAAACATGAAACGTACAAGGGCTTGGTCTAAGAAAGGCACTCCTGCTATTGTTACAGTGCCAACTACGAGAGCAAAGACTACGACTATATTGGGTGCTATCTCTGCTTCAGGTTTAATTAAAATAAGCTTGAGAATACCAAGGCCTGTTAAGAAGAGAAAAGCTGGACAGGAATCCGGATATGTCAGTAGTGGTACTGTTACGGGACATTACATAAGCTTTTTGAAAGACACTTTGGACGAAATGGACAAATATCCACAAATGAAAGGTCACTATCTCGTTATGGATAACGCCCCTATTCATAAGTCTGAAGATATTGCGAAGTATATTACGTCGCGAGGATATCGTTGTGCTTATCTCCCTTCATATTCCCCTGAGCTCAATCCAATTGAACAATTCTGGTCTGTAGCTAAAAGTAAAGTTAAGCGTCATAGATTTCTGGAAAAAGAGACCTTATCGACCAGAATCAGTGACGCTTGTAACAGCTTGATGTTGAGCGATTTCTACGGCTTCGTTTCTCATTCATTTCATTGTTGGGACAAATGCCGCAATAGAGAAAACATGTAACGTTTCAGGGCTTAAATATTAGCCAAGGGCATTCAATCAGCTTAAGCCGCTTCATTACTTCTACAAAGGTAAAATGATAAGTAAATCGATAGGGATGGACAGCGACGTTTGAAACTGTACGAAAGTGTTACGCTTGTTATTGTAGTATCCACGCTACTATTAAGTGCTTAAATACAATATCTAGAGTTGAGCCTAATGTTGCTATAAGATCTGTTACACCTTAATCAAATATAGTCAACTCAGTTTAAATACCTCAG